TGTGGCCAGGGGCGGGGTGGGGGTTGCTGTCCTGTGTATTGTTGAATGTTTATCAGCATCCTTGACCTCGGCCTACCAAATGCCAGTGGCAACCCCCCACCTCCCGTTGTGACAAGCAAAACTGTCTCCAGACATTGCCAAAATGTCACCTGAGACAAAATTGCCCCTTGATTGAGAACCACTGTACCAGAGGCAAGAAAACGAAAAGGCATTCAGATTGTAAAGGAAGAAGCAAAGCTGTCAAAACAGTGTAGTTGATTTGGAGACAATATGATCACCTGTAGAAAATCATATGGAATGTACAAAAAAGCTAGTAGAACTAATAAATGAATTTAGCGAGGTTGCTTTTAACCACGGCACCACTAGGGCTCCAACTTCACCCTTACAGTATCATACAAAATAGTTCCACTTCCCTGAAAATGCCCTGTGCTTCACCTATTTGTCTCTCCCCTCCCCGCCCCCGATCCTCTGGCAACCACTGTCTTTTTTACTGTCTCTATAATTTTGCCTTTTCCAGAATGTCATATGGTTGGAATTATACAGTATATAACTTTTTCAGACTGGTCCCATTAACATTTTTTCTTTTCTTTTTTTTAACATTTTGTTGTGGTTCAGGTGATAGTTTACAGAGCAAATGGGTTTCCCATTCAACAATTTATACATAGCTTGTTTCATAACATTGTCTACTATCCGTTCAACTGTCAGCACTCTCCCCACTTCCTCCCTGGGGTGTTTGTTTCCATTCGCCCAGTTTTCCTGTCCCTTCCTGCCTTCTGAGCTTTGCTTTTGGGCAAATACTGCCCTTTTGGTCTCATATAGATGATTGTTCCAGGGAGCGCATTCCTCATGGGTGTTATTGGTCACTGTATAGGCCTGTCCATTGTTTGGCTGAATGGTGATCCCCGAGAGTGGTTTCTGTTTCAAGTTTGAAGAGGGTTGTCTAAGGCCCATAGTCTTGGGGGTTCTACCAGTCTCTATCAGACCAGTAAGTTTGGACTTTTTTATGAATTTTAATTTTGTTCTACAGTTTTCTCCCATTCTGTCCAGGACCCTACTGTGATCCCGGTCATAGTGGTCGGTAGTAGTAGCCGGGCACCGTCTGGTTCTTCTGGTCTCAGACTAGTGGAGGCTCTGGTTCGTGTGGTCCATTAGCCCTTTGGGCTAATTGTTTCCTCAAGTCTTTGTTTTTCTTCACTCTTCTTTTCTCTGGATGGGAAGAGACCATTAGTTGTGTCTTATATGGCCACTCACAAGCTTTTAAGATCCCAGTTGCTACTCACCAAAGTAGGATGTAGAGCATTGTCTTTATGAACTATGTTATGCTAATTGACCCAGATGTCTCCTGATACTAGGATCCTAAGCCTTCAAGCCCAGTGACTCGGTCCCATGAGGTGTTTTGTTTTGGCTCAGAAGTTTTCCTAACTGTACCCCAGTGTGCTCTATTATATAAATGGATATATTTGCAGCACATACAAATGCGTGCGCAATAATATCCATTGGCATACTTATATATGTTCGTGGGTGTACTCCCATATGACATCTCACACTTGTTCAGCTTACATATTAACCTATGTAACCACTCATAATTTACTGTTACTACTGTTATTGTAGGATTGTATATGCAATAGCATTTACCTTTGTTGCCTTTTACTCGAGTACCTCCTAGTGTCTTCCTTTGCCTTGGTCATGTTGCGCTCTTCCCCCATATTGTGTATTGTCTTTCCCTTCACCAAAGTTAACACTTGTCTACTATTTAGTTAGTGATTTTCCCTCCCTCCCTCTTCCATCCCTAGTAACTATCAAGGAACATTTCTTTCTGTGTGTAAACCTTTTCTTGAATTTTTATAATAGTGGTCTTATACAATATTTGTCCTTTTGTGATTGACTTATTTCACTCAGTATAATGTCCTCCAGGTTCATCCATGTTGTGAGATGTTATGCAGATTCATCACTATTCTTTAACGTTGCATAGTATCCAATGTGTGTATGTGCCACAGTTTGTTTTCCATTCATCCGCTGATGGGCACTTAGGTCATTTCCATCTTTTTTTACTATTGTGAACAATGCTACAGTGAACATGGATGTGCGTATGTCTACTATGTCGCAACTCTAATTTCTCTAGGATACTTACATGTGAGATTGCTGGATCATATGGTATTTTTATTTCTAGCTTTTTAAGGAAGCGCCATATTGTTTTCCAAAGTGGTTGTACCATTTTACACTCCCACTAGCAGTGTATGAGTTTCAATCTCCCCACAACCTCATCAGCATTTGTTGTTTTCTGTTTTTTGATCTGTGCTATTATTGTTGGGGTGAGATGTATCTCATTGTAGTTTTGATTTGCATCTCTCTACTGGCTAATGAGCATGAGCATCTCTTCATATATTTGTTGGTTGGCTGAATGTCTTCTTTGGTGAAGTGTTCATGTTCTTTGCCCATTTTTAAATTGGATTGTTTGTCTTTTTGTTGTTGAGTTGTTGAAGTTTTCTATAAATTGTTGAGATTAGTCTCTTGTCAGATATGTCATTGCCAACATTTTTTTCTTAGTCTGTAGGTTCTCTTTTTACTCTTTTGGAGAGTCTTTTGATGAGCATAAGGATTTGATTTTTAGGAGGTCCCAGGTGTCTAGTTTATCTTCTGCTGTTTGTGCATTTTTAGTTATATTTGATAGTCTATTTTTGCCATAGATTAGGGCCCTTTGGTTTGCCCCTATTTTTTCTCCCATGATCTTTATAGCTTTAGGTTTTACATTCAGGTCTTTGATCCGTCATGAGTTAGTTTTTGTGTATGGTGTGAGGTATGGATCTTGTTTAATTTTTCTGCAAATGGGTATCCAGTTTTGCCAGCACCACTTGTTAAATAGACTATCTCCTCCTCATTTTACGGGTGTTGACCCTTTGTCGAAGATCAACTGTCCATAGGTGGATGGATTTACTTCTAGGTTCTTAATTCTGTTCCATTGGTCTATGTGTCTGTCCTCGTACCAGTACCAGGCTGTTTTGACTACTGTGGCTATGTAGTAAGTTTTGAGACAGCAGTGTGAGGCCTCCTACTCTGTAACACTTTGCTTATCAAGGATCTCTTTCCTTTCCATATAAAGTTGGAGATTAGTTTCTCCATCTCGTTAAAGAAAGTTGTTGGGATTTGGATTGGGATTGCATTATGTCTGTAGATCGCTTTGGGAAGTATTGACATTTTCACAATGTGAAGTCTTCCTATCCATAAACATGGTATGTTTTTCCATTTATGGAGGTCTCTTTTGATTTCTTGCAGTAGCATTTTGTAGTTTTCTTTGTACGCATCTTTTACATCCTTAGTCAGGTTCATTCCTAAGTATTCTATCTTTTGGGGAGTTACTGTAGATGATATTGTTCTCCTGATTTCCCTTTCAGAGTTCTCTTGGTTCGTGTAGAGGAATTGGACTGATTTTTGTATGCTGATCTTGTACCCTGCCACTTTGCTGAATCCTTCTATTAGTTCCAGCAACTTCCTTGTGGCATCTCTGGAATTTTCTATGCATAGGATCATAGCATCTGCAAATAGGGATAGTTTTACTTCTTGTTTACCATTTCGTATGCACTTCATTTCCCTTTCTTGCCCTATTGCTCTGGGTAGGACTTCCAGTACGATATTGAGTAACAGTGGTGATAATGGGCATCCTTGTCTGGTTCCCGTTCTCAAGGGGAATGCTTTCAGCTGCTCTTCATTGAGAAAAATGTTGGCTGTTGGTTTTGTATAAATGCCGTTTATTATTATGTTCCCATTAACTTTTAAGACTGTTTTTCATTAAGTTTAGGAATGGTATATGTTCTCCAGGGGAACACAAAGCCGGTATTGAAAACACTGATAACGAAACTTTCAATAGACTCGGTTCATTGGGCATGGATTCTTTAAGTGATTCTTTGTTTCAGGGAGATCAAACAGAGACCCTTTATAAACACCCCCGCAAGATTTCCTCTACTCCAAATGTCATCCTAGGAAAATAGCTGAGCACAGGAGACGACTCGCCCGGCTCTCAGCCCCAGCGCGGAGGCGTGGCCCAGAGCCCGCAGGGCCTGGTCTGTCACAGGCGACCTACAGGACATCGGGGAGTAGGCGGAGCTCCGTGTGGCGGGAGGTTTGAGACGCGGGATCAGCTGAAGAGCAGTGACTGCGGCGAGCCTGCCAGGACTCTGCTCCTAGCGGGGTTGAGTCCGCTCCGGGCTTTGCGAGCAGCAGAAGCGGAGGTCTCCGGCGCGGGCTCTTCCCGCGGGGAGTGGGAGGGCCGGGCAGGAGGCGGGGAAGCCCCGGGCGGGGAGGCGGGCTGTCCCCGCGGGGAGCGGGGGAGGTCCGGCCCGGGAGGCGGGCTGTCCTCTCGGGGAGCGGGGGAGG